GCGGGGGGGGGGGGATGGTTGAATCAATTTTCTTCGCCAAGTTGCCTTAGCCTCCTTGATTTCTTGAATTTTGTCCTCTCAATTTTCTCTCAAAAAGGTTTGCATTTATAGTATCATGAAGCCTTGGAAGGGTTGAGATTGGATTAGGCCAAGAAAAGAGTACAAAAAAATCAAAAATCTTTTTCTCGCCTAGTGGCGCCCCAGCACCACAAGCATGGCACTTTGGCACTGCGATGCTGTTGAATATTCAGCGATAGGGAGCTGCGGTGCCACTTATGGGTAAAAATTTAGTACTGCGCATCTTTTAGTATTTTTATCATAACTTTTTCTCTCGATATCCAATTGAAGTGATTCAAAGTGCGTTGGAAAGATAACTCAAAGAGCTACATCTTTCTTGTAGATAACGTTTTCCAATTGAATATTTACTATATCAAAAATGGGTCTCAATCTCTGGCTAAAAATTTGTAACATACTTATGTAGTTAAAAATTTATTTGTCAAAATTTTTGGATCATATTTCACTCATTTTTTACTTTTAATTGCATCCCGTTGACTCCTAAAACTCTTCAACTATCACTTTAAGGTCTGAATCAACTATTGAAAAGTTTGCAATTGAGTCCTCAAACTTTGAATTTCACCATTTTTAGTTGTCATTCATTTTTTTTAAATTTCAATTTAGCCTCCAATAATGAAGTTTCACCATATTAACATCAAGTTCTCCTAGGTTCATGCCAAATCACTATTTTCTCCGAATTTCCCATCATTCAAATCAATTTGCATAACCTATAAAATAACATGAAAACACAAATCAAAACATTCTAAAACTTAAAGAATCACATGAAATATCAAGATTAAGTAGCATTATTATGATAATGAAACACACTCATCAATTAACAAGTCTATATTGTACTAAAAACTTTTTTCAAAAAAATTATAAGGCAAGCAAAAAGAATTGATCAAGTAATTTTACTTTTAACTATGATAACTGTATAACACGAGTTACCTCAAAATTAGGTCACGATGACCTTTTCCAATGCTAGTATATCTTGTTTATTTGAAAATTACTCAAAAGAAACATAATTTCGTTTGTCTAAGGGACAAATCTGACATACATGATTGTGAGTTGTTTTTACAGAAGGATCAAGCATACTAATGACTTGTAACCTAGAAGGGAAAATGTGTCCCAAATGAAGGTGTCATCGAGCAAGATTGATAGTGCAAGTGTTGTCGGCCAGATGTGTAGAAGGCAAACTGGTTGAATCAAGTAACCTCTTATTTGTATCAGTCGAAAAATTTAGTAGATGGTATAGACCAGATCAAACTTCGGCAAGCCTAATCATATTCCAATTGCCGAGGTCCTGTAAAATTCATTTAGATTGGAAGAAAAACAAGCCAATGGAGTAATCTCTAGTTAATCTAGAAGCAGAAATAAGATTAATATTAAAGAAGGAACATAAAGAGCATTATAAGGACTTAAGAAGAAAGAATAACAATTTCAGTAAAGCTAATAGGGACATACTGATTATTTGGTAAGCAAAATAGGGAAGGTTTGATATGTAAATGAATTGAAGTAAAAAGTGAGGGACCATATCAAGTGATCTGCTGTTCCAGTGTCAACGATCCGAGGCGACTGGCTGGTGAAAGAAGCAGCAGTGTAACAACAAGAGACAAAATGATTACCTGAAGTAGAAGCAGTATTTACAACAGCATTAGTTGAAAAATACTCAAAATGGATCCAAAAAGCTTAAAAACGTGATGAATGAGTAGGAACTACTCAAATATTTGAAAACCAGCCCACTTATAATTGTAAACTTTGTGCATTTAGCTTATCCTTAGGAGTTAATAAATCACCGATCACTGAATTTTCTTTATATTACTACTCCTCACTGAACTTTAAAGATTTTTCATGGTCACTCAACTTTTAAACGTGATTGTTGTCCATCATTCCGATGGATTTTGCTAGAGGAGATGTTGATATTGACAATAAAAATCCTACGTGGTAGGTCAATGCGCTAACTTTATCTAGCTGGGACCAATTGTATTGTCAAATGGTGACAGAACTTCCTGTCGCGTTTGTTCGTTGTTTATGAATTTAAAATATTTCTAATGATTGAATATTTTCTTGTGATTCTACATAGTCATTAGAAACTTCAAACCATTCATCACACACTTACAATATTAAAAATAAGCATCTACAACTATTTTTCACGGATATGATTTAATTGAACTTGGGCTATAACGAAGTCAAAATTTCATTCTAGTCCTCAAAAGTTAAAACAAGGTGATGTTCAATTTTCGATACACAATTTTTGAATTGAATAACAGGAAACAGTGATTATATTAAACCAAATTGCTAATAACGATTAGGTTTGGTTTGGGCCATTGAGCGATTTGGTTTAGATTTGAAATATTGTCTAACCGCTTAAGTTGGATTCAATATACTAAGGCACATCAAAATAGAATGTAAAACTATAATGAGATTGAAGTGATAGTTCACCAAGTATCACTTGAAGTTATAATATCCCTTGTTTGTTTTCAATTTTTCTATCCAATTTTAATCCATTATCGGACCGTTGCTCCACCGTCAATCGTGATTGTTAACTTCTTCTCTTATAATGGGTCCCATGTGCTGGCAAAAAAAGGTCAAAAAATGCATTATTTTCTTCGAACAATTGGAAACAAACAAGGGTATAAAAATCTTCTCTGTGTACGAAACGCAAAAGGGCTTATGAATCAATCACACTTAGACTAAATCTTTAGCAACACCATCGAAATTGTAGTAATGACTCTTGGGCAATCTTGAAATGTTTAGAGTGAACCTAGACATAACATGCATATATATAATTTCCATCCATCATGAAAATCTAACGCAACTACACTCATTCATCTCGTGAAGACATGGATCTAAACAAATAAGGTGCACCAACTCCAATAATCTAGTTATGACCATCGCCATCAATTGACTCTTGACATTGTAAAGTTATAATCCAACTCATTATTAAAAGTCAAATCAATATTATCACGATACCAGAAAATTCCAAACATGAAAATATGTCAACACAAGGCAGGAATAGGCTAAGGAAAGATAATTCAAGTTTTAAAATTTTGCAGGTTATTTATTTTATGGAGAAACACTTTAAAAAGTTGAGTAATATTTAAAGTTTAATGGCCATCTAATAACAAAAGCGAAAATTTAGTGACAATTTGAGAACACCATATAGTTGGACAAAGTTTACGATGTCAGTCACTACTTTACAAAATATATTGAAATAATAAATAAATTGTTACACCTCGTCACATTTGGCTCCAAGTGGCAACCCATCGAGACCCATTTGTCAATTAGTCAACTAGCCGACCTACTCATGGAAAATCACATCCACCAAAGTAGTCCTCTATCAATATGCCGAAGCCTCGTAGCGAGGAAATCAGTTGTCTAGCGAGGTGATGAAGTTCGACACAAGTCAAAGTCGAAACTCAAGTATAGTAAATGACGACCTACACAAAAGGATTCTGAATTTATGTAGGAGATCATTTTGAAATGATTGCTCATTGATGACTTTTGTAACGAGTAAAATATCATGTCTTGTCTTGTCATTTTAGGCAATAGGGTTGTTGCTCTTTGTAAGAACATTAAATGTGCTACAGACTAGAAATGTCGAATTGAAGGCCTAGGATGGTATGCTTCGACCAAAAAGATGAGGCCACGTGGATTTTCTTTCTTGTTGATTATACACTTGTTTTAGCTTTAGTTTAGATTAATTTGCTTTCTCCAAATTATTGATGATCGTTTATTACTTCAACAACAGATCGTAAATATATTGTCGGAGCCCGAACATATTTGTCTCATGCTATAAGGCATCACCCACGTCCAAATCCGGAGCATTATTACCTAGCGCCCTATTCTCTTGTGTCGAAATATATTTATGTGTGCACAAGTGGGATTAGTATATGTTGTCCACGTCGCCCTAACAAAAAGCAAGCAAGGTCAACATATATATATTTAAAAGTTAACTGATGAAGTAAATAAGTTCAATGACCAATGATTTAATGTTTCTTTGGTAGGGATTTTGATAATTGATTTTTTTGATCGTTAGAGATAAAGTGGGCTCTATTTGTAAGAAAAGAATTCAAAAATAATGATTGAAATAATAAAATAACGATAAAAAAATTGATTTTAATTGATTTAAAATCGGTACGGCTCTTAATTAACTCGTCCGCGTTGTAGAGAGTAATTAATACTTTGAATGGAATTGAGATATTCTCTGTCAGATATTTTGATGCGTGAATATTTGTCTTTTAACAGGAAGAAAGTTCGATTCAACCGAAAGAAACTGAAATTATCATCCAGAAACTGCCACTGGATTTTTTTCCCTCTCTCTATCGCTCTCTCAAACACACGAACACGAAGAGTATCAGATTCACTCACCAGTCACCACTCAGCTTCGCTGCAGTTTCAGATGAATTGCCTTCCAAATTTTGCAAGGTTTGTGCTAAATTAGACGTGCTTGTTGATTTTGTATTAAATTAATCATTTCATATATGTTGATATTTTGTGTTTCAGATCCTCTTCTTTACCTCTGCAGAGCTTCAAAAACTATTCCAGAAATCGTCAATTTCCTGTCACTTTCCAGGTAAGAGAAATTAAAATCTAGGCGAGCAATGAAAATTCAAAATTATCGAATATACATTTCTATATGGATGGTAATATGTGCTAATTAATGTGCTATTTATTTTCATTATTGTGATTCAGGGTATGGATAGAGGTTTTAATTTATCACAGACACAAGTTAATGTTTTGAAGGTTAGCTTTGATTCGATTAATAAAGGGATTTTATTTTATTAAATAAAGGGATCTTTATTTGGAGTGATTCTTTAGTCAATTCTTTTACTCATTGAATATGTTTCACTTTTTGAGCTAGCTAAACAATTATAGGCTGGCCTACAGTTTCAGCTGATTCGAATTATTATAATTAATTCTATATGTTTTCTTTCTTTTATTCTTGGGGTTTAGTTATGGAAGATTAAAATTACTTTTTATATAGAAAAACAACAGTTCAATTTTTCATTGAATGCATTAATTTTCTAATTGTTTTAAACGCACTTCTTTAGGCAGTATCTGGTTCTGCATCCAACACTGATAGCGACACAGAGAAAAATGAAAAATCTGAAACGTACAGTCATGACATGACTGCAGCAATGGGAGCTGGTGAGTGAAGCATATACTTGATACTAGGTTATTTACGTAAGAATGTTCAACTAGCATAAAGTAATTGCAGAGCAGACGTTGGGACAAATAATTTAATGTCCTGTATAAAAGATTTATTATAATTGTAATACCACTACTTTACAAGAAAGCAGCATTTGTAGGATCTTTCCACATCTCTTCTGTAGTGAAATTGTATTTTGTAAATCCAAGTGTATGACATTTACGGAGTCCAGTCTATGAAAGTTACAAGAAGTAATTTTCTTCTTGTGAAAAGCTTCTGACCATATTACGTTTGATGAGTTCTATAAATAGGCTAATCTTTACATTATAATTGTATTTCTACAGTCTTAACCTATAGACATGAACTTGGAATGAATTACAACTTCATTCGTCCTGACTTGATTGTGGGATCCTGCCTTCAGGTAATAAACGCTTCCAAGTGTACAAAGATGTTATATTTTCGTCAGTTATGTTTTGAATTGTGCTTCACTTCACGTATGATAGACTCCTGAAGATGTTGATAAGCTTCGCAGCATTGGAGCGAAAACTATATTTTGCTTACAACAAGATTCTGATCTTGAGTATCCAACAAATTCATATAAGTTAGTTATATGGTATTAAATATAGCGGTTAAGCTATTGAGATGAATTCCTACATGTCCTTCTGGAATTATGAGGTTTTTGTTTATGTCCTTGACCACAGTTCTTTAGATATTTTGGCGTTGATATCAGTGCCATCCGTGAATATGCCAACAGCTGCAGTGACGTTCAACATTTACGTGCCGAAATAAGGTTGGTAATAGAATTATAAGAATGGAAAGAGGTTAATTTGAGTTGATAAGCTTCAATTTTGAAATTTTCATTTGTAAGCAAGCAAGCATGTTTTAGTGATCTTAACTCAAAAGTGACATTATATCTCTGTATGCATTTTTTGTTTAGACCTTTTGTTGGATTTTATGTTATAATTCCTGTTTTAGTGACCAAGATTTTTTTTATTTTTTATTTATAGTAATAATGCTCTCCAAGTGACAATTTATAACCTCTGTGGTTAGAACCAAGGATAAGATAATAAAACAACAACAAATTTAGCCTTTATCTCTAAGAAATTTTTTGTAGGCTACATGGATTACTTCTCTCCATTGTCGATCATTACATTTACCAACTGTTCCAATGCAATTTCATCCTTCACAACTTGCGCGGAAAGAGAATTTTTCCAAAATGTAATTATTTTCTTTACTCAACACAAAGTAGTTCAACTAATAAGCATAAGACTCATTTTGCTTTGTGTGATAAGTTCCTTTCTTCCTCCACTTATAGCAACGTCTGTTCTGCTACCTATATTGTTTTGCGAGCATATGTGCATATAACACAAAAAGATACATGGTTTTGTCTCTGACTCAAATGTTTACACACACATGTAAAAATAGTCATACTTAATGTATGTATTTACCCTTTTCCATGAAAAAGAATTTTTACTGTAATTTGTTCATGTATATACAGAAAATTAAGCTTTATTTCTGATAAATTTGAGTCTAGTCATCCATCCAGTCCTTCGTTATATCCAATTGGAAGACAAAATAATCTCAAATATTTACAACCACAGTAGGATGATAATTTTCGTTTACCTCTGTCGCTTATAACAATGTTGTACTGGGTTTGTATTACTGTGTATTACCATTTCCATTTCTTATCTTATCAAGTGTAGCATGTCTAATAACTGGTCTAAAAAACACGCATCTGTTGCTTTCTGCATACACAAGGGGATGTGTGGAAGTGTTTGTCTGTTTTGCTTGTGCTAAAAAAGGTTATTATTTGAAGGGCAGAGTGATAGAAAAATGATAGTTCTGTTGTATAGTCCAGCAGAATTGCAGCAGGCAAAAAAAGAATTAAACATCTATCTGTCATTGACTATTCTCTCAGAGTTTACGTTCATTCACTTTCAGAAAATTTATATAAGATGCTTTCTCCACTACTTTGCCCATAATATGGAATCATATTTCAGTTTTCTACTTGACATTTTTATGAATCAGAGATTTCGATGCATTTGATCTGCGGATGCGCCTTCCATCAGTTGTAAGCAAATTGCACGAGGCCATTAATCAAAATGGGGGTGTAACTTATGTACATTGCACAGCTGGCCTTGGAAGAGCTCCGGCAGTTGTGGTAGGCAAGACAGGCTTTAAAAATATCTTGCTCTTTTTACTTATCATAATTAATTTTATTTATTATATATGGGTGAGTCTTATTATTAATATTATTTTTGGGCGGGGAAGGATGTTTTCTTCTTTTAAGTATCTCTGAACTAGAAGATTGGCCAGATTTGCAATTATATGTAAACATTGATTGGACATGTTCATAGATCTGAATGATCTCTGGATTATTGTGAAACATTATATTTGGATATTTCTGAACATAAGAGTGTAGCAGTATACAAATAAGAAGCTGTTATTTCCCAAACTCTGATTATCATGGCTTGGTTCTCTTTACTGACAAATTAATCTTGAGAATTTTAATATTTTAGGAAGGAAGATTAAATGAGAAAATGTGTCAGCATCACTTCCCAGATAAACCAAGTGGCCTTCGTCTGTGCATGTTTACGTGGGAGGAAACAGTTTACCAGTGACATTAATTTGTGATGGTTGGCACTTGCACATGGCAATAAAATCCATTGCCAGTCGAAAGTGAAATAGATGGATTAAGGATATGCAGTCAGAAGAGGAATAACGTTTGACAAACTTTGCCGTAAAGAAATCTGAAAAATAATTTGGAAAGTGTTTTTGCCTTTCAAACTATCTTCTGAAGCTTCCCACCCCACCCCACTCCACCCCACCCCAAGCCCTAACAAAAAATTAAAATTAAATAAAGCAGAGTTTCTTAAGATGGTAATGTGGCAGCAGTTGCATTTCATGTTCCTCTGTTATACTATTATTTATGACACTTTGATTAGAAATGTTTGATATATCTTTCATGAAGAACTATCAAGTTTTTGTTTTAAAATACAGTTGGCATATATGTTCTGGGTTCAAGGCTACAAGCTCAGTGAAGCACACAATCTACTAATGGTAATATTTCTTCTCACTGTCTACACACGCCCTATCAACTAGTAACATTTCTTGTAACTGAGACGTGTTCCGCTGTAGCAATGTTTTGTTTCTTCTTTTTTATTCCAATTCTGATTTTTTTATTGTTGGTGAGTCATCATCTAATCACATTTATGAAGCTGATGGAGTCCTTATACTATAATCACCAAGCTTCCCAGCATTTGGAAGAAACTATGCTTCAGATTTAGTAAAACTATTCATTCTTGTGATTCCACTTGTAATTTTTGTTGTACTTGCATTTCAAGTCCCATTTTTCTTAATTCTTTTCCTAAAGGAAACCTACTTGTAGCAAGGATTTCATTAGAGACTAAGATTTTTGATAGACCTCTCATAAGATTCACAAATGCAAGGAAGAAGGGAGTGGTTACAACCAAAGTGAGGGATGCCAGCTCAGCTTCAGTTAGTTAATAGAGGGTATAATGGTCATAGTGCTGTTGTAAGGGAAATGAATAAAATCTGGATGGGAGGGGAATGTGGGTAGACTTTTACTGATTTTCAGTTAGAGGGGGAGAGACCAGGCCACTCTAATAGCCTTGGAATTTTCTGTATTTTTAAAGTTCAATCAATCATCTTCATAAACCATTTGTGATCTCTCGGTGTTCTTAGCTGTTTTCTTGCAGATTTCCAGGGAAGGAATTCATCTATTAAGTTACAGCAACTGGCGTTCTATCAATTTTAAACATATCTTTATTTCTCTATCTTTGCAGAGCAAGCGTTCGTGCTTTCCAAATCTAGATGCCATCAAAAGTGCAACTGCTGACATTGTGAGTCCTTGTTTCCCTTAAACTTAAAGTTTATATTCTATCTAATAATACACTGGACTACAAATTTTATTCACACGCAAAATTGATCCATTAAGGATTGGATTCATTGAAGATGAATTGTGCTCTCACTCACTTTAGAAACCAATATCTTGGGATCTGTTTGATCATGCTTCCAAAAATTATGGTCTGAAAATGGTGACTTGAATAATGATTTTGGATGATATTTTCATATTTTCTGATATATGGAAGTGCCTTTGCTTGACTTGCAGGGATTCGTTTGCAGTAAAATTATTTTCTTCTTGTGTTTAGCGGTGTAACCCAGTCAGAAAATAGAAGCTTAATATGTAATTTTGTATGAAATATTAAATAACAAGTGAAAACTGATGGACTCTGTGGCGCACCCTGGACCCCTTTTCTCAGTTTAAATCCATCTTTTAATTGAACTTATTTTTATATTAATGATTTTAATGCATTTAAAATGAATTTTGTCATGGAAAAAATATGTGAATATTCTAAACTTTTAAATCTAGCCCTTGTTTGGTGTAGATAAAAATCAGATTTTTAGTAAATTTTGATAAAAGTAGATAAAATTTGTTGTTAAAAAGTTGTAAGTCTCATGGAATGTGTGGTTAAAATTAATTATTGATTTTGACCTAAAATTTTAATTTTTACACAACCCAAACAGGGGCTTAATCACATTCTCATAAAATGACTAGCTAGTCAATTGGAGTATGTATTTTGACATCAAATTGAATTGTTTTTATAAATGATGAGCCCAAATTCTTGACTAGAAGTAAATTCCAAAGTCTTGACTAAGTGCATTTACTTCTTGAAACAGTGGTCAGAAATCATCACTTCCAGAAAGTGTTATGGACATTTTTAACACATTTTATTAGTCTAGGATTTATCATTTTAACCATAGGGATACATTCTGGAGTAGTATGGGCTAACGAAGCATGGGGATCATATTTGAGTTGGGACCCAAAGGAAAAGGGTGTGTTTTGTAATTACGCCTCTCAGATTTCACTTGCGTGATCATGTTGGCACATTCTAACACGTGTTCATCATTGTTTGATTTATGTTTAGAATAATGTTTTCCACTTCTTTTCTTTTCTTTTTTTCCCAGTGGAATGGATGTATAATGAAGGAATCAGTTTATTGTACTAGAAGTTTACTACGACTTCAAATTTCGAAGTAATTAGATTAACTAGAAAATTCCAAATCGAACAGGTTTTTGCAGTTTGTAATCTATTACAAAAAGTTCTAAATGATATTGTATTTTATCAATTATATCTGTTGCAGTGCTATCTTTCTCTTAGTGTTTTTGTACTTCTCTTCATGATGATTTACAACACCGTATCTGGGACACTACAATTAGTTTCAGTGCCTTTTTAGTGTTTTCTCTGGGCTATGTTTTTTTCCCATATGCATGGGGATAGAGCTAAACCTCTTTCATTGTTTTTGAATTAACCTTTCTCCTGTTTAAAGCTTACAGGTATCAATTATATCTGTTGCAGTGCTATCTTTCTCTTAGTGTTTTTGTACTTCTCTTCATGATGATTTACAACACCGTATCTGGGATACTACAATTAGTTTCAGTGCCTTTTTAGTGTTTTCTCTGGGCTATGTTTTTTTCCCATATGCATGGGGATAGAGCTAAACCTCTTTCATTGTTTTTGAATTAACCTTTCTCCTGTTTAAAGCTTACAGGACTGAGAAGAATGCCTGTAACATTGACATGGAATGGCGGTCACTGTTCGACAGTGGAAATCTCTGGACTTGATATTGGATGGGGTCAGGTAATAGTCGAGTTCTCCTGGCAGATAGTAACCTTTTTCCGGAATGTCTAACCAATTGAACTATTTATTGTTGACCTGGAGAAAATCTGTGAAGTTAGATTTGGCAACAAAAAAATGTTGAGTGGGTTTGTCTTTGCGTGAGACAAATGTATTCTTCAATTTGAATCACTATCTAGAATCAATATTTAGCTACATCCACTGGGAATTCTCAACTGTATACTAGTTTCCCTACCTAAATTGATTTTCTTCATTGACTTCAATTTTCTGTTCAGCTGTCTGTGCCCAAAGTATATCAATTGCCTGAAAGAAGTATTAAGTTGTATTGAGTAATATGTTCAAAAGTGATGAAACCAATTATTCTGAGCTTCAAGTATCCTTTATTTGTAAATTTGCCTCTCCTATTTCTACCACACCCATTTTCATATGCTCAGTTCACAGAAGTTCGATGTATTGTGTAAATGGGAGTTAAATTTTCATGTATTGACTTGATATTAACTTTTGGATGCGTAGAGAACTTAGAAACAAAATTGATGTGATTTTGTTATGATAATTCGCTATATGGCTTCTTCTGCGTGATAGCTCATGTTATTTAATAATACATACGATTTTGTTGATAATTTTTCTTACAATTCTTGTCAGAGAATACCTTTGAAATATGATGAGGAACAAGGTATATGGATTCTCCATAGAGAATTGCCAGTAAGTATATTGAAATTCTTATTAGTTCTTGTGTACTATATCTCTTCTACACTGGTTTGTTTGTTTCTTTGTTTTGAAAGTGATTCTAAAGGCTTTCAAGTTCATTTATTTCTCTTTCAAGGTAGCATTTTGGATCAAAATGTGTACTGATATTTGATAACATGAAGCCATATTTTGCATTCAACTGCCATCCAATTTATTCTCTTTATGTAATCATAGTCTTTTGGTTTATTAAATTTGATATGGATCATTGCACAGTCATTTGTTGATTTACGATCACATACGCTTGATCTTCAATAGTTGATGGACACTTTTTGTGGAATATACTTCTCTGCAATTGCTAAGGCCGTGGTTGGTTTGTCATTTTCGGCCCATTTTCCGTTTTCAAAAATGCTGAAAACGCATTTGGTCCATCGTTTTCGAAAACGCATTTTTGAAAACGAGTTAAAATTTATAACTGAAAACGCAAAATGACTTTTTAGCGTTTTCAGTTATAAATGTTGAAAACGCTCAAAACGCGAAAAATGGGCCGTTTGCAGGGAAAACTAAAAATCGTTTTGAAAATGAAAATGGAAACCAACCGCATCCTAAGCTTTTGAACTAGATTCATCGAAAAGAAGTGTAACTTTATTAAATTCATTGCAATTAAATCATTGGCTTTTTTCTTTAAAACAGGAAGGACGCTATGAGTACAAGTACATTGTTGACGGTGAGTGGATGTGCAATACGTACGAGCTCGTCACTTGCCCCAACATAGATGGTCATATAAACAATTATGTTAAGGTATCATTTCGCCTAATATTTTTCAGTCCTTATTCCTAAGAAATGCATGTAATGCTGCTAATGGGGCCTCATCCTGCATAAAGTAATTGCTGTTTGACCCTTCTTTGAAGGCTCTATTTAACAGCTTTAAAGGAAAAAGTTCATTTTCAGTCAGTATCAAAATAAATCAGTAGTTGAAGCACAAGATCTAAGGAACATTATGACTGTACTTGGCACACTCGATTAAAGTGTATTAGAGTGGAAAAAGGTGGTCGATAGTATTTAAAAGTTTTAGTTCAAAAAGAGTGGAATTTTCAATCTTTCTTATCCGGTTTAAACCCACGTACTCGCTTCATATTATGCTATACAAGTAACATTCTATTTAACCTTTCACCATAGTATTACTTTGTTCGTAGTATATCCACCCAATGTTATACTTAATTCTTTATATAGTCTAATTCGATATACCAAACACATCATATGGTTATTGGAAAACTATTGAACTTGGGCATACTTTAAGCTTTGGTAAAGATTTAGTAGAACCACTCTCTACATTTACATTCAAACAATGCAGCTTTTTGCTCAAATTTATTTTCAAACGCTCATTGAACTATTAGGCGGGTTGCTGTAACATACGCTCGAATATCAAGTTCACTCTTCGTATGCAGGTGTTTGATGATAATCCCAGTAGCATTGATGCTGCAATTCGGAATAGACTAACTGGTGACGACCCTGATCTTACGACCAATGAACGTAGCATGATTAGACAGTTTCTTGAAGCGTGTCCCGATGACTAGTTATGCCAGCATAAGAGATAATAATTATATGTATAGAGTAGTATACAAATCGTTACTTCTCAAAAATCTCCTGTACCGATGCAGGAAACGCAATAATACATGTTATGCTTATTGTACTAGTTGTATTGTACTTCTAATGGAAGGCAAAATGATGTTTTACATCCCTCAGCCGTGGTCCTTTACTTTTTGTCATTGATGGTACCATAACAATTAACATGTTTCCATTATTTTTGTGGTGATACTTCGCCCTGCTTACCGGTTTAAGAGGAAGCTTAGAAGTGACTTGTTTTCTGAAATTTAGAGGCCTACATTTGACGTAAGTTACTTTTAAGTTTAGCCAAATATGTTGATAAGGAGATTGAGTGAGATACAGAATATTTGTTGTTGACGGTATTGTTGAAAGACCTTAGTCATGACAAATAAAGATTGGAGTATGTACGTACTTCGTTTGCCACCATAGATTCACCTCAAGAGTTTTGATAAAAGTCAGGACCGACCCTAATATTTTGAGGGCCTTATATCAACTTTAAATACGGGGTCCTATTGAAGAAAAATCATCGTATTCTTATTTAAGCATTCTTATAGAGAGTTTTAATATAATCATGGAGAATCTAATACAAACAAATAAACTCCAAAATTTGAAGAGGAAAATAACAAAATGTCAAAAGTTAACATGCAATACAAATTATAAGTAAGGTTTGATATACTAAATTATAATACAATGGCAAAAGGCTATGTTCGTTTCTTTGATCATTTTCTCACTACAACTATTTAAAACAAAATTGAATGTGTATTTGAGTGATGTATGTACAAAAAATGTTGACTGCAAAATATTGTACAACAAAATAATGAAAATGACGATCAAATACAAATGAGCTCCTGATTTTATACTAATTCATAGTAAATTAACTTTAAACTAAGAAGTATGAACACAGACAAAAAATTATTAAATTCAAAGTACCTTTAACAAGCATCTAAAAAATTATTATCATGAGATTAAAGTAAAACAATAATAATAACAGTCTATAAATCCACCCAATGTTATACTTAATTCTTTATATAGTCTAATTCGATATACCAAACACATCATATGGTTATTGGAAAACTATTGAACTTGGGCATACTTTAAGCTTTGGTAAAGATTTAGTAGAACCACTCTCTACATTTACATTCAAACAATGCAGCTTTTTGCTCAAATTTATTTTCAAACGCTCATTGAACTATTAGGCGGGTTGCTGTAACATACGCTCGAATATCAAGTTCACTCTTCGTATGCAGGTGTTTGATGATAATCCCAGTAGCATTGATGCTGCAATTCGGAATAGACTAACTGGTGACGACCCTGATCTTACGACCAATGAACGTAGCATGATTAGACAGTTTCTTGAAGCGTGTCCCGATGACTAGTTATGCCAGCATAAGAGATAATAATTATATGTATAGAGTAGTATACAAATCGTTACTTCTCAAAAATCTCCTGTACCGATGCAGGAAACGCAATAATACATGTTATGCTTATTGTACTAGTTGTATTGTACTTCTAATGGAAGGCAAAATGATGTTTTACATCCCTCAGCCGTGGTCCTTTACTTTTTGTCATTGATGGTACCATAACAATTAACATGTTTCCATTATTTTTGTGGTGATACTTCGCCCTGCTTACCGGTTTAAGAGGAAGCTTAGAAGTGACTTGTTTTCTGAAATTTAGAGGCCTACATTTGACGTAAGTTACTTTTAAGTTTAGCCAAATATGTTGATAAGGAGATTGAGTGAGATACAGAATATTTGTTGTTGACGGTATTGTTGAAAGACCTTAGTCATGACAAATAAAGATTGGAGTATGTACGTACTTCGTTTGCCACCATAGATTCACCTCAAGAGTTTTGATAAAAGTCAGGACCGACCCTAATATTTTGAGGGCCTTATATCAACTTTAAATACGGGGTCCTATTGAAGAAAAATCATCGTATTCTTATTTAAGCATTCTTATAGAGAGTTTTAATATAATCATGGAGAATCTAATACAAACAAATAAACTCCAAAATTTGAAGAGGAAAATAACAAAATGTCAAAAGTTAACATGCAATACAAATTATAAGTAAGGTTTGATATACTAAATTATAATACAATGGCAAAAGGCTATGTTCGTTTCTTTGATCATTTTCTCACTACAACTATTTAAAACAAAATTGAATGTGTATTTGAGTGATGTATGTACAAAAAATGTTGACTGCAAAATATTGTACAACAAAATAATGAAAATGACGATCAAATACAAATGAGCTCCTGATTTTATACTAATTCATAGTAAATTAACTTTAAACTAAGAAGTATGAACACAGACAAAAAATTATTAAATTCAAAGTACCTTTAACAAGCATCTAAAAAATTATTATCATGAGATTAAAGTAAAACAATAATAATAACAGTCTATAAACTTTGTAATATATGTTTTGAATATAAAAAATAAATTGAAAAATTGGTAAGATTATGCAGTGATATTAGACCATTCTGTCAAATTGAATTTTCAAAATTTTAATTTCACGTGAGATAATTCATTTCTTGTTTGGTTTAAAAAAAAATTACGATGGATTACTATTGGACGTAGAATTTGAAGAGACAAAGAGACATTTTTGTTTGGTTAAGGAAAGAAAATGGATGTTTGGAAGATAAATGGTCAAATTACTTAGAGAGATAATTGTTTATGATATATTTATATGATAAATAAATATAAGTGATAAGCTTTATGCCATTTATATGTTTTTCTGAAGATTCTGTATTTTCAATTTTAATTAGTTTCTTATGTTTGCATAGTGATAATTCTATTTTAAAGAATTTCAGGGGTTTGAATTGTAATGTTATTTTATTGAAAAATATGTAATTGAAATGGTGTCAAATCATTATTGAAAAATATATTTTGAAAAAAAAAAGATAAAAAAAAGAAACTTTGAGTTACGAGGAAAAATATAAATCCCTGCTGGAATTAAAATCTTGAATCTAAGTCAAAATTAAAAATTAATTTTAAGAACATATTTAATGCAATTCACAAAATTTATTTCAAAATCTTCTAAAAATGTGTCCACTTGAGAGGGACTTATTTTGAATAAAATATAATTTATTTGATGTGGGCACCCTCTATGTGAGGGAGATGAACACCGTTATGAAAATCATATTAAGTACAAATAGCATATTCCTAAATTTAAAATCACAGGAAGTGATACATCGTTCGTCCCATTTATCTAAGGGAAGAGTACACAAACCATGTTTTAAATATACATAATTCAAAATTCAAGTTACAAGTTTGATTAATGCAAAATTCAGATTTTAACTAATTAATTAAAAATATTTATTAAATAACGATAATAAAGTCACAATTACACGATTAATGGTCACAGATATACAATTATAGGTCACAAATTTATTTTTCGGTCACATATGATCAAATTAATTGGCCACAAATTTTTTCGAGGCCACAAATCAAAATTTTGATAGTTCACAAATTATTTTAAAGTCACAGATCAAAGAATTTGGTCATGGATCAAAAAATCACGGGCCACATTTTATGTCATTGGTCACACATCCAAAAAATTATAGATCGGAGGTCACGTAATTTCAACTTTGATGGTCACAGATTACTTTTTTAGTCAAAATGATAAATTTCAACGTCACAGATTAACACTCACTCACAGAGGACCAAATAATTGGTCACAGACACCAAATATAATTAATCACGGATACCCACCCGTCACCGCCACCACCATAATCAACAACACAACCACAACCACAACACAACCACAACCACAAACATACGCCGACCACAACCAAACTACCAACAAAAACTACCACTGTGTCCTACACCACCTCCACCGTAGCTAGAATCCACCATGACTGCCACCACCAAACACACCAACATAACCATCGTCTCCATTGCCAACACGACCACTGCCAGAAACCATCACAACGACCAGGACACAACCACAGCCAGAAACAACCACCGAACACACCCAACAATACAATTTCCTCCCAACCTCAACACCACCACCCAGATCACCACTGCCAACACGAGCACCGCTACTACCATCAGCGCAGTTGACACCATTAGCAAAACAACCACAATCACCACCATTTTCAACCACCAACAAACCAAGATTTTCAACTACAAAACCACCACCATCGACACCAACAAAAATCAGAGTCCTTTTGGATTACCGGAATCGGATGTCTAGGGAGTAGATGCCACTGCACACCGTCGAAGTTCAGGCATCGTTGGAAGTGGAGGCATGGGAGAAGTACTGTTGGAGTAGAGGCAATCACCACTGGCTGCAGCAGCGTCAATCGACGCTGATCTTAAAGCGCCACCAGTGGCGAGGAGCCATGAGCGACCTCTGCAGGGTCGTGTGCAGCTGAACTGAGAGCAGCGCACATCGGACCTGTTGGTCGGCCAGATCTCTAGGCGAAACTCCATTTGAAGAAGAAATGAAAGGTGGATGAAGTACAGAGAAAGGATAGGAGGTAGAGATGAAAATGGATTTGGAGCAGAATAGAGTTGGCTTCGGGGCGGTGCTCCGGCGACGGTGCTTGGCAACGGCGACGATGTGTGGGGAGAGGATATAAAGAAAGAAGATGGGAAGGAAAGGGGAAGATGAGAGAGAAAGTAATTTAGGTTTTAATTGGGTGGATGGGATAGGGTTTTAATTGGGGGTGGAAACCTGACATTTGCACAAATAAACATGATAGCAGATTTTTAAATTGTGCATTTAAAAAACCTGGATGCGTGTAATTTCCTCTTTATATAAGTTGATTTTGTTTTTCACACTGATTAAAAAATCTTATTTAATGTTATTGAGAAAGTAATTTTTGTCAAAACCTTTCCTAATATACTATGGCAATTTAGGAAAATTTCCATTTGTTTAGAAACTTGAACTGAAATACTTATCTAAATGGGAAAAAAAGATGCTCTCTCTCTCCCCTCAATCTATTATTTTCATTTTTATTCCTATTCTAGTTACTCTTTTTAATAGGCTCTTGATTGAGCCTATGACTGACTTCTAATCTGGATTAACAATTGAGTTTTACACTGCTTTGAAAATTATGTTTAAATCCCTTAGCAGATGTCGGGAACTACGAGAACATGCAATTCCTATTTTTTAGACACAGGAATAGCGTGAGATGTTTTAACATGTTTGGAAATG